AGACACGGTCTGAATGGCATCATTTGGCACTGATGAGCCAATTTCGTTCCGTTGGCTTTTGGGGGCGATTAATCGGAATGCCTGATGACCGGGTTCTGTCCGCCACATTGACGACCCCATCGCTTGACAGACGTGGAAGACGATATCATTATCATTACTGAAGTAAGCCAATCCCCTATCCTTAAAAAAATGTGCTGGTTCGTGATAGCCACGATAGTCTCGAGCCAAATTCATGTCTTGGGTGTGCTTGTTTCAAATCAGATCCCACTTGATGATCCCGGCAAACGCCATGCCGACCCTGCCCCTTTTCGCGAGGAACTCCTCCTTGGAGAGGCCCCTGCCGTCCTTCCCGTCGAATTTGGTCACCATGAAGATGCTTAACCCTTCACCCCGGCGCACCGAGATCAATGGCGTTAACATCGAGCCACCACCAGTAGCCATCTGTGTCCATCGGCACCATTTCCTTCTTGCGGCCGTCTCGACCACCAATACTCAGGAGCAGCAGTGGCGGCTTCCCGAGTCCGTGCCGCTGTGACGTCCAGTGCTCGCACAGCTTGGAGAACTGGAAGCGCACGCACTCGCCGCTGTAAACTGAAATCTGCTTCTCCTGCGGATAGACGCTGCTTCCCTCGATGCCTTCCTGATGCGCGTTGGTGTACACCGTCGGTGTTTCCCCGTGGACGGGGCCAATGTAATACTCCTCCCACGTTGGTATGCGGCCGTCACTTCGGAAAAAGTGTCTGTTGTCCTTCGGGTAGTGGGATAGGCCAAACATCTCGTTCGACCGCGTGAACTGTTCCGGCTTGAACGATGGAGTGTATGATTTAGTTGCTGACGAGACGTTGCCGGCTCCCCAGCATGAGTCGAGGAGCTTCCATTCTCCCCCATCGATCCGCACAGCGTTCCAAGCATGACCATCTGCTTTCTTTGGAGGGGGACGTTCGCCTTTTTTGAGGGCTGTGTGTCCGATGCCCTTGCCGTGACCCGTCACTGTTATACACTCTAGCCCGGCACGCTCCGCTATGGCTTTGTAGGTGTCAGCGTAGCCGGAACATACAGCTCTTCCCATCTGTATTGTTTCCTCGGCACCACGAGCTCGAACACTGTTGCCGAAGAACGCTGGACAATCGTACGCAATGTTATGATGGAACCAAGTGAAAATAGCCCGCGCCTTGTCAGTATGAGATGTGAAAGGGGCGCAAAGATAATGAGCAAGATAGCCGACAGGGTCATCGCGCGGCAACGATTCCCTGGGGTATTGAGCTGCCACGCCATCCGGGCTTGAAAAGTCGCGGCAGGTCAGGCAGTCGTTGCGTTGCTGTACAGCTGGGGCATGCTGGGTGGCTGTGGCGCTCGGCTGGGAAGTTGTGGGTCTGGAGCTCAAGGGAATAGGTGGCGGAACATCTCCTTCATCCAGATAATTATCTGTAGCCTGCGATGGTACGTTGTGACCCTCTATGTCTTGGACATGATGCCCATGCCCATTGGTGACTGTTTGCGGACGAACAATGGGCCTTACAGCAGGGGCCTCAGATGCTGGGGGTGGTAGTCGGCGAGGTTTAGTGGGAAGGAGCTCTGGGTCCGGTGCGTGCTGGTGAGCTGTATGGTTTTGTTGGTTGGCAGAGGCGTTACTCAGGCGCGGAGGTAATGTAGGCCGCTGAGGAGCCTCAATCTGTCTGATGGCTGGGGCAGACTTGATTGGAATGGGGGCTCGGGGTCTCGCAGGTTCCTTGAGAACGACCTCCTTCGCTGCCTGAGCTTCTCTTTCCCTCTTGGTCGGCGGCAGCGGGGGAAGACTGGCAGGGTCGAACGCCGGAGGCAATTTGCGACCTGCGCCATCAACGGAGTGTATACTTGTAGCTGACGACACAGTATTGTTGTTCAGGGAAAGAGACGAAAGTGTTGAGATTTCCGAAGCGTTTGAGTTTCGTCGGGCTTCCAGATACTGCGGTGTCTGAGTGCAAGGTCGCCGTGGCGGCAGCGCAGGTGAGTTATGTGAGGTGGCACTACGTGAGAGGATCTGTGGAGGTGGCGCGACACGATCTCTGGCCGCCGGTGAATGTTGCGGCTGGATCTGCGGTGACTCAGTCGTTCGTCGAGGCAGTGGCGGGGGGATGGCCTTGGGAGGTAATGCTCTCGAAGGACGGGGGGGTATCGATGGTGTCGGGCGCTCTTGTGGTGCTGCGACTATGGGAGCTGAAGACAATGCCTGGCCTTGGTTGTCGGCCTTGACGGGCGGTGGGGGTGGAGGGGCTCGTTTCGCCTTGACCTCCGGAGCCTTGAAGTTTTTTTGCTTATTCAAGGCAGCAATCCTCTCGGCGAGAGTGGTGAACTGGGGTTCCTCGACGTCGGCCATTGTGCTTTGGGGCCCAGTCAGTCGATTGATTGGAGGTCAATCCGTCAGCGAGAGTGAATCAGAGGCCGGATGGATTATGGATGTATCGATGTAGGTGAGCGACGTGAAGTAGAGAAAGAGATGTCGTCGAATCCAGGAGGGTACGCAGCGAACGGATGGCGGGGTTCGGAGTGATAACAGGCAGTCAGTCAGTCGATCGTTGTCTCAAGCCATGTATTTGTCCCGACCTCGTGCTCGGCGAGGTGAAAGCGCCTGGTCAGCGGCAGAGTTGCCGAGGGGTACGACGAGCGGACAAGCGGCAGCAAGCTGGGTGGACGGTGCTTCTTTGGCTAGGACTGTGTTGGATGCGCAGCCACAGGTGGGACAGGCGAGGTAATGACTGTGACTCCAACTACAAGCGTCTATGACGGAGGCGACGGAAAGTTTGCTGGCAGCGTCGGATGGATGGATGAAGGATGTGGCACAGCAGACAAGAAGCGGCACGAGCAGACCCGTATGAATGAGGGAATGAGAGGGGAGGGGATCAATGATGGGCTGAAGGACGCAACTTGATGTTGAGAGGAGAGAACACGAGGGATTCTGATCTGAGGCTAGCAAGTCCCGTCCCATCAGCCCAGCCCAGCCCAGTCCAGTCCAGTCTTCCTTCCGGGATTCAAGGTGCACTGCACTGAGAAGCGCCTCCCTGCCGCTCAATACCAAGGAGGGGAGCTTGGCTTGCTTGGGGACGTTTGTGGATGTCCATGTGTTAATGTGGGGTGCCTTGCGCGTCCCCTACTCCCCTGCTTGCTTGGCGCTAGTCGAGGGGGGCGCAGGGGGCCGACTGCCTGTTCTGCGAGCCTGGTCTCGTAGGGCAGCCACTACCGGAAACGCCCCCTAAGAATAGGGGCGGGAAGTCGGCACTGCGCATGGTCCTGCTCCTGCTCCTGCTGCTTCTGCGCCTGCTTCTGCTCCCCACCGTTCGTGGGCCTTCCTGCCCGCGTGCATGCGGTTTCCGTTCTGAAGCACATTGATAGTCATGCAAGCTGGTGCCAAACCAGCTCGCCAAAGCCAACTTGTTCGTGGATCCAGTCTTGTCAAAGCAGCATACGTTTTGCTCATCCATGGAGTATCGGCGAGGTAGCCCCTCTGTCAGCCCCCATGCCCAGGATACCCCCGCCTCGTGGACTCGAATGCCAGTAGCAAGAAGTCTGTGCGTGGCTCAGGGATCAGCTCAGACAATCTATTCCGGGCTCTTTGAAGGGGACAACAGCAGCATCCTTGCTTGCCCGACGTGAAGGCAGCTTCGAGAAAACCCAAAGCTGCTCGTGGACTGCGTTCGAGGCACACATGTCCGTGTCTCTTTGGGCAGCGGAACCAGCTCCCCCCGCTACCACTTCGCTACATCTCAGTTATTGAGCCAGCTGACACAAACACGCCGAGCTTGGAGATACTCGTGATAAGGTTCAAGTGACGACACGAGACGTTGTGCACGGCTTACTCATAGCTTAAGTAGCTTGTGAATTCAAAGTGATATCGCATGCTAGTAAATATCTCGGAAAATCAAATCGCTGACTACCAACATCACCATGGTCTATTTACAAGTTCAACTTTTGCGCCCTGAACCTCGCGCCATACTTGCATATCAGAGCCGGCACTGGGATCAGCGCGATAGCCACGAACCCCAACAAGCTGTTTCCCCACCCCAGGCCGAGGGCGTCGTACATTTTGGGCCCTGCCAGTGGCAGAAACGCAGCGACGACGCTCCGGAAGACTGTGAAAGCGGCGAGAGCGCTGGCCGCGTACTCGGGGAACGCGTCGATGATGTACGCCTGAATGGGCTGCCAGACGCCGACGAGACCGAGGCCAAAGGGCAAGAGAGCAAGGATGGGGGAGATCCAGTGGACCTGGGCGTACGCGGACCAGCCGTACCAGAAGAAGGTCAGGGGCAACAGACAGGCGAAGTAAACACAGTCCGGCAAGCGCATTTCCGGTTCATATACGCCGTGGTTGGCGGCGGTGAGACGGATAACGGTGCGGTCGGAGATGTAGTTGAAGAGGGCGAGAGAAACACCGTAGCCGACGCCCATGGGTATGTAGACGAGGCCAGTCATGCCGAGTGAGAAGCCATACTGATCCTGAAAGACGAGAGGAATGGTGTTGAAGAGCAAGTAGAGCACGCCGTAGCAGAAGGCAATATACAGGGACAGGGAGAAGAGGAGCGGCGAAAGGAAGAGCATCTTGAGGGGCCGGGTCAGTCCGCGAGCAAGGACCATAGACTTGGACTGCGGTGGCGCATTTGCGTCCACATAGACGGACCGTAGATCGGGACGGTTGAGTTCGATGCGGAGGCGGTCCGTCTTCCTTTGAATGAGCACACGGGCGTTTGTCTCTTGTGAAAGGATGGCTATGGCAACGACCATGGGAACTGAGGCAGCCAAGACGATCCACCCCGTCCAGCGCCAGCCGATGTCCTGCGCAACAAAGGCACCGATGAGTGGCCCGATGGTGGGGCCGATGAGCGGGCCGAGCATCCAGATGGTGATGGCGCGGCCACGCTGGTGGACCGGTATGATGTCGGCAATGATGCCACCTCCGATGGTCAGGCAGCCGGATCCGCCGACACCCGTCAGAAAACGAAACACAATCAGTGCGTTCAGCGAGGGTGCCAGAGCGCAGCCGATGAGCCACACACAAAAGAAGGCATTGGCGGACGAGAGAACAACGTGACGGCCGTAAATCTCCGATAGGGGGGAGAGGAAGAGAGGTCCTACAGCATATCCGAGGAGATAGATGCTGATGGGAAAAGGAGGCCATGGTGAGATCAGCTTCTCCGTTCCCACTGAAGTCCTCGGCCAGGAAGCCAATCGCGGGGGCCAGAATGGTCGAGGCGAAAGGGGTGAGGAACGTAATGGCGGCGACGAAGCCAACTATAGTCCACTTGCGCTTTGCGCTAAAGTTCATGGGCATCTCGGGGTCATCTTGGCTCTCCCAGCCAACGACACCGTTGTCGAGGTCAGAAACCGGGACGGGAGCTGGCGGAGGTGGAGGGAGCTTGGTGCGCCGGGAACTGGCGAAGGAGCGCCTCGTCCTAGTGGTGATTTGAGAGGGCTGTCTGCTGAGCACTCTCTCGACGACGTCCTAAGAAGCTGTCAGCTCACGCTCCAAGGGGCAAAGGTAACGAAATCCAAGGTGGCACACGGACTTCTTCATAGGGGTCTGCTTTTCGCTCCTGTCGGCTGCGCCCACGTTCGAGCTTCTCCGTCAACACTTCTTGCTCGATGCTGTCTCTGTCACTGAGGGACGGTGGGGGGGGTTCGGTTTCTGCATGTTCATGAGAGTATTGGGCAGTCGCGTCAGAGCCCCAGCCGGCCTCGACATCTTTCTCCTTCCCGTCGCGCATGGTTCGGCCTTGGCACACAACGTGCGTGTCACGACAATCCACGCCCTGGGGTGAATGGGAGGAAAGCAGCGTCCGATGAGCTGTCGTTGCCGCGTGCTCGAGGAAGGAAGATGAGTGAACGATGGTCCAGAGTCTAGCGCTCTACAGATGAGGATGTCGCCCCCAGAAAAAGGGGAGAAGAGTTGGGGGATCCTGGTGTCCATATTTTGCTTCGCTGCTTTTTTTGACGGGGAATCGTTTCCAATTGCAGTCTCGGGCCTACCAGGGGGTGAGGGGCTCAAGAGGCCCGAGAGGGCTTGAGAGCGCTGTGGATAAGAAGTGGGCGGGCTTTAGGCCTCGGCACCGACGGTCGGCCCCTCATCGTCATCCTCTCCAACAGTCGCGGGACCCCGGATCCGACGGCCATAGTGGAGCCCAAGTCGCGGGGGTCAGGGTATCTCCAGGGTTTATATCCGTGTGTCCGTCGAAAGCGCCCCCTCTCCAGGCCGCCAACAAAATCTCATCCTCCTCAGGCGATGAGCAAATGGTATCGAGTGAAGCCAGTCACTAGAAAGGACCACCGTTGAAGTATGTGTCTGTCGATGCCGAGAGCCGAGATGGGAGGCGAGACGAGACGAGAGAGAGAGGTGGGGGGACGGATCAAGTCAGGCGTCTGGCCACTTGAGAAGCGACTGGGCTCCCATCATGGGCGCTATTGCTTTGAAATCCAGACGATAGATGGCTTGGCGGTGAGAGATCATCAGCACCTTCAGTGCGGAGTGGTTGGTGGTAGGTGGTGGGGGATACCAGAGAGGGGGATACCAGAGAGGGGGATACCAGAGAGGGGGCCCCGAAGAAGCAAAGTGCAGACAGAGAGCTGTTGGAGTTGGCTAGCTAGCTGCATCAAAGGGCGCGGAAGCCATGCCCAGCAAACGGCGTGAGAACATGGCCTTGATGGTGCCATACCCACATGGTGCGAGCAACTCATGCACCCCGCAAAGAATGCAAGCGATGCACGCTGGGGAGAAGGGTGGATGGAGGGCGGTTCACGGACAAGGACAAGGTCGAAGGCTTGACTTGCAAGACGGGACGGCGTCAGGGCCACCCGCCTGGAGTCACGTTTACCCGGATCCGGAACCTCAGCCCATCCGATCAATGACCACGAACCGGCCAGACCCACTTGCCAGCACATGGGGAAGGGAAATGGGCATCAATTGGGGAAATCCGTCATAGATGGTGGCTTATGCTTTGCGGCATGGGTCGAGCAAGAGCCCATTCATCGAGAATAGTCGCGTTACCACTCGATACATGGCGCGTCTTCTCTTCTGGATCTGTTCCATCGACTGTCCACCTCTCCTCTCTGATCCCTCGCCCAACTCGGTACCTGGGCCGGTACCTGTGTCGACCTACCTGTTAGGGGGCCTTGCCTGTGCTAGCCCTGGAGAGTGATAGATCCCTGTCAACTGCGCCTCGGCATCTGGATACGGTGTCCCAACCCAAGACAACGTCGAGCGCAAAGTTCATCAGCGTCATACACAACCTTTCATCGGCCACCCGGTCCGCCCCATTGTCGAACGTTTGTTGCGCGGCCATGGTCACGGCGTGAAGGGCTCTCTTCACCACCAACCTCTCATCGTCTCTTTCTTTGCCAGTCATTACCACCATCCCCTGTCATCATGGCGGTGCCTTCGGAACTAACGCGCACTGAGACGCTCTCGCACCTCGCCATCTCAGGTGCCGCTCTCATCATCCTCGCCAACACCTTCACTGGCGAGGGCGAGCCCCTCATCGCGTCGCTGGCCCTGTCGACCCTCGCCTTTTCTCTCGCCTACTGCATGGTCCGCTGGCTGGGCCCCACCTTCGTGAAGGCCGGCTTCAAGGGAAAGGACCTCTCCAAAGCTCACCAGCCTCTCATTCCCGAATGCATGGGTGCTGTCTGCGCCGCCGTCTACCTCCTCGTCATTATTGTTTTCATCCCCTTTCCCTTTTACAAGGACATTGTCGCCGCGACCAGCGGTGGAGGCAACCGCGACGTCGTCCTGCATGTCGAACACGTTCAGCAGGGACGCTTCCTGCATCGCTTCCCGCATAGCAAGGTACGTGCTTGCCCCTGAACCCCTGACAACCAGAGGCGATTTGTGATCTGTGATCTGTGATCTGTAATCTGTAATCTGGAGCCCATGAGTGCGCCTCGACTGACGCACAACGCAGCTGGCTAGTTATCTGTCCGCCATCATCTCGCTGCAGACCACCGCCCTGCTCGGCATCGGCGATGACCTCTTCGACATTCGCTGGCGCCACAAGTGGTGGATTCCCGGTCTGGCATCCATCCCCATCCTCGTCGTCTACTTTGTCGACTTTGGCGTCACCTCCATCGTCATCCCGATTCCCCTGCAGCCCTACCTCGGCGAGCTCTTCAACCTGGGCCCTCTCTACTACCTCTACATGGCCTGCGTCGCCATGTTCTGCCCCCAGTCCATCAACATGCTCGCCGGCATCAACGGCATCGAGGTGTCCCAGTGCCTCGTCGTCTCCCTGCTCCTCGCTCTCAACGACGCCCTCTACCTGCTGACCCCCTATCCCCACCCGGCCACCGACTCGCACCTTTTCTCTCTCTACCTGCTCCTCCCGTGGATCGGCGTCTCCGCCGCCCTCCTCTGCCACAACTGGTACCCCGCCCGTGTCTTCGTCGGCGACACCTACTGCTACTTCTCCGGCATGGTCTTCGCCACCGTCGGCATCCTCGGCCACTTCTCCAAGACGCTCGGCCTCCTGCTCGTGCCCCAGCTCGCCAACTTTCTCTACTCGACACCCCAGCTCTTCGGCCTCGTCCCCTGCCCACGCCACCGCCTGCCGCGCTTCGTCGCTCGCACCGGCCTCCTCGAGCCCAGCGTCACCCCCTGGCCGCGCGACGCCCAGCCCCACCCCCTCGTCGCCCGCGCCCTCCGCCTGCTCGCCCGCTGCGCCTTCTCGCCCTGCGCGTCCGCGACGACGACCCGGCCTCCATCGAGACGACGAGCAACCTCACCCTCCTCAACCTCTGGCTCGTCTGGCGCGGGCCTCTGCGCGAGGACCGCCTCGCCTGGGAGGTCACCCTGCTGCAACTCGCCGTCGGCCTCTTCGGCCTCTTTGTCCGCCACCGCCTCGCCCTGCTCATCTTTAAGGAGGACAACTGGGTCTTCTCGACGACTGCCGTTTGAGAATGGCGAATGCGGATGCGCGCCATGTCGCCGGCCGGAGACACGATGAGGAGAAACGGATGTATTTTCCTTCGTCTTTGTATTTGGTTGGGGTGAGGCCCTTATTACCCCATAGCAGGGACATGCGTATCTGAACACGAAAGGCTACGAGAGATATGCATGCGACAGGGGGAGAAAAAGGGAATAGATTTCATCTTCAGGTTGCTCGCTTGTCGTGCAAAGGCTGGGAGCCCCGTTGTACTGCTGCTGTATTGAAGATACCCCCAGACTAGAAAGTAAAGACTAGAAAGTAAAGAAAAATTCATCATGCTTGTAGTGATGTCGGCCAGAATGTCACAGCTGCAGCATGAAAGTTGAAAAGACTACACACCTTCTCGTTGTATGTCGTGCTACCCATCCTTACATAGATGCCGCCAAACCCTGTTGAACCATGCGCGACTCGACGACTTTCATCCGACTTTTCCTATGAGAAACAGACAGGCTTAATCACTTTGTGCAAGCCATCACGAGCTCGGTAGTCATGACAGAGTGTGAAAAAAACGGCAGCCTTGGCCGCACATCATCCATTGAATCAATACCTCATCAGACCCTCTACCCGAGGCGCCTCGACGCGGGACGAGGCGTCCGACAAGCCGTCCCTGGAATAAACCATATAATACACACAAACGACGTAACATTGCCGCCATTCCCGCAGGCCAAGCCAACAAAATAAATCAGAGAAGAGCTGTGTACAAGAAGCGCCTGTCGACCCCGACGGAGAGTTCCGCTTTGAGCGGCGCTCCCTTGCCCTCCACATCCCCCGTGTGTGGAGTTTCCCGCGCGCCAGTCTCGACCCTCCAGAAAAAAGGGGGGGTTTTCCCACATTTCCCCCCTTGGCCGAGTACGCCCCGTTCCCGGCACACATGCCGTCCGTTCAACGCCGTAAGAAAAATCAAAAAGAACCAACTATTTCCTGCCCCGACGCTTTTTTCAACGAGTTGGAGATTCGTAGATGGTCATGTTGGCATGGCATGTCGCACAGTCCATCTTCCTCTATTTATATTACAAGGGTGTATCGGCTGCGGTGAGCGTCGGACTGACACCGTTGACTCGAGCCGTCTCTGTCGCTTCGTTCGCCTTCGTCGTATCAGCCGCGTCGACGATGCCATCGACGCCTGCTTTTGTCTCTTTCGTTGTGGGTGTCTTCGGTCCACCATCTGGTTTCGACGCAGCCTTGTTCAACCTGCTCTTTGTGTAGTCGCTAAGACTCAGCTTCTTCTTGACCGGGCTAGGATGTGTGATGCCATTGACAGCAGGAGGCATCAGAGCGCTCGACGGAGCACCGGTCGGGGTGGAAAGCAAGGGTGCTTGCGAGTCAGTGGCCACTTGAGGCGTCGTGACATTGGCCACGGCTGATGTGGCGTCACCAAAAGCAGGGACTGGAGGCAGATGAACGCGCAACTCCGGCGACTTGACTTCCACCGGACTGCTGACTCCATTGACCTCAGGCAGCTGTGCCGTTGTTGTCGTGGGGGAAATCGACGCCGCATCTGTTGAGGGCGCGTCTGTCATCGGAACATCCTCCAGGCTCGTCGCCTCCGGCGCTGGCGAAGGGGGCAAGTGCTCCGATTCCTTGGGCAAGGATGCCGAGTCCGAAGTCCTCCGGGGGTCCACTGGAGGGTCGATTTCCATTGCCGTTGGCGTTGTTGGCGCGGGGAGCGACGTCCGACGCTTAAACTGGTCCACCCCATCACAGCGCGCCCGATGGCGGTTGTTGAGCAGACGTTGTGACAAAGAGATGATCCGTCGTCGAGGCTTCGGTGTGGGCTCTGCTTCGCTGTACCACTCACCGGCGACTGGATCGGTTTGAACAGACGCATCGCAATACTTGGGCCTGGGTGCGGTCGATGCCGGTCGTGAGTTCGATGCGACAGAGTCCGTTCTGGAGGTGGGGCCTTTGAACGGGTTCTGCCATCCTGTAGAGTGGGCGCTCGCTGGAGATCCCGATTTGCTACGTGACGTTCCAGCATCGACATACCTACTCGTACCATTGGAGCCAGAAGTGCTTGATGTGAGCGCGTTCTTTGACTTTGGCGGTTTGGTGTTGGTGCCATCAGACGTCCTCTTCTTTTTGCGAGCAGGAGGTTGTTGCTCCATGCGTCGGAAAGAGTCTTCGACCATTTGTACCTTACGCTTTTCTCTCTCCGTAGGCTCCGTCAAGATGCCGGGTTGATCGAGAGACCCTTGACGCAAAGGCGTGCGGTCTCGGCTTGGCGGCTTGCTTCGCTCCGACGTTGATCGACCGTCTTGGTCGGGGTCGTCGTTGTGGCTTTCGCTAGCTGCCCTACTATTTGCTGCGTGTCCTGTACTAGTGGGAGAAATGGTATGCACTTTCGGCTTTCGTGACTTCTTCTTGGGCAGCTGGTTTCGAGACTGTGACCTGGCTTGGTAGTGGCGATGGAAGCGAGCAAAGGCGCAATTGCTACCAAGATCGCATGCGCAACCGCCGAATTCGGACAGAACGCGGTGAAGCCAACCGGACGTCTGCTGGTACTCGGCTTCGTCCATGTCTGGCTCATCTCGACCATTGACTTCGTCGTCGCCGAGGCCGATGAGGTGCATCATTCGCGCCTTCTGCAGCTTTGGCAGCCGGAAGTCCCACGGCAGTGTAATCTGTTCGTTTGCGGCAACGAAACGATCGCTGACGAGCCAGAAATGGTATTCGGAAGTATTGGAAAGGTAGGTATCGAGGACGGCATTGGGCTTGCAGCTCCGGCGGACGTAGCGGGCTTGCGACATTTCGTTTCGTGTGTCAATGCACAGAGGCAGCATGGGGTGGAAGAATACAAACGGAAGAGGCGAGGTCAACTCTTCCCACAAGTTGGTCGGATCAGCACAGTAGTCTTTTTGGAACAGGATTTGACCGCACAGCTCGATCAGCGGGACGTCCTTATCTATCGCCGCTGGAGTCGTGAGATACTTCCATCGCAAGACGGTGTCGGGTGCCAACGGTATTTGCTTGTCTTGGACGACGAGTTGCTGCTGTCCTTTGCTGATGTCCGGGGGCAGCTTTTGAAAGACGTCGTTGTAGGACTCACCCGTCTCTTGCCTCATCATGTCGGGTTCCCGAAGCCAGAGAGACATTGTGTTGGATATCGCCAGGCTTGAGAAGGAGTTACTTGGCGTTCTTTCAGGGTCAGTCTCAGGCTCGTTCCGATACAGCGTGACGAAGCGATCGGAATAACCGTGGATCTCAAAGTCGGTGGGCAGTTCGGGAGGACTCGTCGCAGGGCTCGGGGGCTGCCCATTCAATCGTACGTTGCCGTCGGACGGGCTTCGCTTGTTTGCTTGTGAGCTGACAGAATTGGAAGGGCGATGGGAGCCCTTGGCTTTTTTGGCTGGGTGGTTGAGGTCGCCGGGGCTTCCGTGTTTGCCATTTTCTTGGCCAACGGAGAGACCGTTCAATTGTAGGTCTGTTGGCTTCGGCTTCTTCTTGTGGCTTTTCGAGGGGGGTCGCCGAGGATTCTTGTCCTGCGCGTCTCCCTGCGTGGAGCCATTCTTGAGGCCTTCCCGTGCGCTCAATGGCTTTTTGACCAATACACACTCCCTGGGTTTGGAATCCGAAAAAAAGGGGAGAAAAAAACAAAAACGAAGTGCCTATTTCCTTGGGGATCGGTTCATACCAACACAAACGCGGAGGAATTGGGGCCCCCTGTCCATCTACAGCTCTTGTTTCCAGGTACAGCGGAGGGAGTGCCTCGGGCTCTCAATCCCATTCCACCACAGTTTAGATTATTTTTTTTTTTTTTGTGTCTTTCCTTTTTTTTTAAA